CTGATAGGTTGCAGGGTAGTATCTCTATTTGTTATATTGGTTGAGTTGCTTTGTGGCATAATATATGGTCTATTTTGGAGAAGGATCCATGTGCTGTTGAGAAGAAAGTATATTCTCTCACTGAAGGATGAAATATTCTATGTCAGTTAAGTCTAAGATATTGATTGTATTATTGAGTTCTATATTTCTTTGTTGAGCTTTTGTTTGGAAGATCTATCTAGTGATGAAAGAGGTATGTTAAAGTCAACCAAAATTATTGTGTTGTGGTCTATTTAACTCTTGAACTTGAAGAGTTTGTTTATTTGAACATAGATGCTCCATTTTGGGGGGCATATAATTTATAATTGTTAAATCTTATTGGTGTATGGTTCCTTTGTGAAGTATGTAGTGTCCTTCTTTATCCCTTTTGATTGACTTTAGCTTGAAGTCTACTTTATTTGATATGAGGATGGAAACCTCTGCTTGCTTCTGTAGTCCATGTGAGTGGTATGATTTTTCCCAACCCTTTACCTTCAGTCTGTGGATGTCTTTTCCTATGAGATGAGTCTCTTGGAGGCAGCATATTGTTTGGTCATCGTCATCTTCTTTTTCTTTTTTAATCCAATCTGCTAGCCTATGTCTTTGGATTGGTGAATTTAGGCCATTAACATTCAGGTTTATTATTGAGACATGATTTGCACTTCCAGCCATTTTTGTTTATGTTTTGGTATTTAACATGACTTGATTTCTTCTCTGATTAGATTTTCCATTAGTGTAATACCTCTCTCTGATGATTTTCATCATTGTTTTTCATTTCCTGATTGTAGAATATTTTCATTTCCTCTTCAAGTATGTTCTGTAGTGTAGGCTTTCTAGTTGTATATTCTTTTAACCTTTGTTTATCATGGAAGGCTTTTATTTCATCATCAAATCTAAAGTTAAATTTGTTGTATATAAGATTCTTGGTTGGCATCCATTTTCTTTCAGAGCTTAGTATATATTGTTCCATGATCTCCTGGCTTCTGGGTTGAAAAGTATGCTGAGATATGAAGTGGTCTCCCCAAATGTGATCTGATTCCTCTCTTGTGGCTTTTAAGATTCTATCCTTATTCTGTATGCTAGGCATTTTCGTTATAATGTGACTTTGTTATAGATCTGTTGTAATTTTGTATATTTGTTGTCCTGTAAGCCTCTTGTATTTGGTTTTCCAATTCATTCTTCATGCTTGAGAAATTTTCTGATAATATCTCATTGGAGATACTGTGTATTCCTTTAATTTGAAACTCTGTGCCTTCCTTTATCCTAATAACTCCTAGATTTGGTCTTTTGTTGCTAGCCATGATTCTTGGATATTCTGTTCCTAGGTTCTTACTATCTTCCCTGTGTAGTCAACTTTATTTTCCAGATTGTATACTTTGTCTTCATTATCTGACATTCTTTTTTCCAAGTGATATAGTCTGTTGGTTAGGCTTTTTATTGAGTTTTTTATTTGGTTTATTGTATCCTTCATTTCAAGGATTTCTGACTTTTTTTTTCAGACTATCTCTTTCTTGAAGTAATCTTTTGCTACTTGTATTTGCTGTCTTACCTCTTTGTTGGAGTCATCATTTTTTGCCTATATTTGCTCATTTAGGTCATTCTTTAATTAACAGATTATTTTAATTATGAACCTGGTTTGTTTGGGGCACTTTCCTCCCTTGTTTTTTCATGTTGAATATGTGTCTTCCTTTCTCACAATGTGGATCTGAGATACTACAGTTTCTACCCTATGTTCTTGTAATACCCATGCAGATTATCTTTACCTCACCTTGATGTTGGGCTTCTAGACCCTGCTGGTGTCCCTCAATGTATGCTACTACTACTAATAAGGTGGTGTGACAATAGGCAAGGTAACTTGAGATAGTATTTGAGGTACCCCAAGATGGATGCAATGTCTTATAGAGATGGGGTTGAAAGGGTGGGCCTCACACTCTCTTTGGGATGCTTGCTCTGAGATGCAGCTGCTTCTAGGCTCTGTCTGTTGTCCAAAAAGCTAGGGGCTACTGCATAGAGAAAGCTATGGCAATGACTGCAGTGTCCCAAGATGGAAGTGGGTTAGGCTTAGGCTCCCAGGTTGGGGTAGGGTGCAAACTGGAACCTACCCTGGATCTGGGTCCCACAAGTTGGTATAGGAGGATCTGGGCCGGGCCTGACCTCCTGCATTAGTCTGCTGGTTGGAAGGAGTGGTCTTGTGCTGGAGGCTGGGCCCTGGCGGGTGTCTGAAGGTGGAAGAATGGACCCGGGCCAACTGTGAGCCTGGGTTCCATGCCAGCACATCTCTTATTTGTATGCTTTTTATCTCTTTCTCTTGTCTAGTTGCTGTGGCTAAAATTCAAGCATTATTTTGAATAGCAGTAGTGAGAGTGGACATCCATATCTTGTTCCTGTCTTTAAAGGAAATGTTTTCAGTTTTTCTGCATTCAGTATGATATTGGCTTTGGGTTTGTCATATATAGCCTTTATGATGCTAAAGTAAGTTCTTTCTATCCTTAGTTTCTTCAGTGTTTTTAACACAATTGCATGTTGAGTTTTGTGGAAGGATTTTTCCACATCAAAATGATCATGTGACTTTTGTTCTTGGTTCTAATTATGTGGGATATTTATTTGCATACATCAAACCATCCTTGCATCTCTGGAATGAAAGCAGCTTGATCATGATGTATAATCTTTGAAATATGTTGTTGAGTTGAATTTGATAATGTTATTAAGGACTTTTGCATCAGTGTTCATCAAGGGTGTAGGTTTGTAGTTTTCTTTCTGTTAGGTCCCTAGGCCAAAGTAATTCCATTTTGAAAATCAGCACCTGCCCACCTAGGCATTACCTTCTAGTAAAGCCCACCCTGAAAGAGTCACTAACAACAGAAACCACAGCAAAGACATCAAGTAACAATCATCAGACCAGATAGGTTATTGTAAAACTACTCCATTGTATTTGACTATGTAGATAAGAAGTTTTTTTCCAGAAGCCTGCTGTGCCTTGCAAAAGGGCAGCCTGGCAGATATTCTCTGTCAGTAAACCTTTGTTTAAACTCAGAGATGTGTCTCTTGTGGATATTGTGCCACCTACCATAACACTTTTCTTGAGGAATCCTTATCTAGTTTTGATATTAAAGTGATATTGGCTTCATAGAATGAATTTGGAAGTGTTCCATTTTCTATTTCATGGAATAATTTGAGAAGCATTGGAATTCTTTAAAGGTCTGGTAGAATTTAGCTGAGAATCCATCAGTCCTGGGCATTTATTTGTTGGAAAGTTTTTTATTACTCCTTCAATCTTGTTGTTATTGATATATTTAGATTTTCTATTTTCTCTTGGTTTAATTTTGGTAGGTTGTATCTAAAAATATCTCTATTCTAGATTTTTCAATTTATTGGAATGTTTTCAAAATAGTCCATACTATTCCCCTGTATTTCAGTGATGTCTGTAGTAATATCTCCTTTTTACATGTCCAATTTTATTAATTTGGGTCTTTCCTTTGATAAAGGAGATTGATAGTTTGGCTAAAGGTTTATCTTTTTAAAGAAACCACTCTTCATTGTTCCTTTTTATTTTTTATTTGCTATTTCATTAATTTCAGCTTTGATCTTTATTCATTCTTTTACTGTTTTGCGATTGGTTTATTATTTTTCAACATCTTGAGATGCATTATTAGGTTATTTATTTGGGATAATTTTGCCCTTTTTTCCATGTGGGCATTCATACCCGTAAATTTTCCTCTTAGAACTGCCTCACTGTGTCAGAGATTCTGATATGTTGTGTTTCTATTCTTGGGTGAGCAAATTTTTAATTTTTTAAATTCTCCCTGATTTCTTTGACATATTCACTCAAAAGTATATTGTTCCATCTCATGTGTTTATATAGTTTATGTAGTTTTAAAATTGCTGTTAATTTTTAATTTCATTCCATTATGATATTATAAATGCAAGGAATTATAAATTTTTTCATACTTGCTAAGATTTTCTTCATGATATAAAATATGATCTTTTTTGGAGAAAGTTTCATGAGCAGATGAAAAGAAAGTGTATTAATTCTGTAGATATCTGTTAAGTCACCTATGGTATGTTTTAATTCTATAGTATCTTAGGTGATTCAGACAAAATAGTAATCTATTGGTAAGAGAAGTATATTGAAATCACCTAGTATTATTGTATTGGAATTTAAATGAGCTTTTATGTTAAATAGTATTTGTTTTCATGTAGTTAGATACACAGATATTTAGGAGTATAAATATTAAATACCATTTTATTTTTTTTTAATTCTCTTCAGTATGTAGTGACTTTGTTTCATCTAATTTTGGCTTGAAGTTTGTTTGTTGGATAAGAGTGCTACTCATGCTTGCTTTTGAGTTTCAGTTGTATAAAATATGATTTTCATCCTTTCACTTTTAGCATATAATATCTTTGCTTCTGAGATGTGTTTCTTACAGGCAACATATAGTTGGGTCTTATTTTTAATCCATTCTGCCTGTCTTTTAATTGGAGAACTGAGACCATTTACATTTAGTGTAATTATAGAGAGATATTTATTACTTCTTGATGTTTTGATCTATTTCTAATGTTTGATCCTAGTTATCACTTGCTTATCCACACTTCTAATGGGATTTATTCTTTCCTGAACTCTATTGGTTGTTTTTTTATTTTCTTTTACATGTAGGATTCCTTTATGTATACTCTGCAATGCTGACTTAATAGATATGCATTCCTCTAGTTTATACTTATCTTGGAAGGTTTTCATTTTCTCACCAATTTCAAAGGATCTTGTTTGGCAGTTATTTTCTTTCAGGGATTGAAGTATGTCACTCTAATCAGGGTTTCTGTTGAGAAATGTGCTATTATTCTGATTGGTATTCCCCTGAATATAACCTGGCACTTCTCTCTCATAGCTTTTGAATTTTTTTCCTTGATATGGATTTTTGGCATTTTAATTATAATGTGTCATGGAGAGATTCTTTTCTGGTCTTGTCTATTTGAGGAACTAAATGAAAAATATGGAACACTTCACAAATTTGCGTGTCATCCTTGTGCAGAGGCCATGCTAATCTTCTGTGTCATTCCAACTTTAGTACATGTGCTGCCAAAGAGAGCATAAAAATGACTTTTTAAAGCTAATCTTTGAAGTATGTGGATTTTTACATCAAAAGTGTCTTAATATTCTGGTATAGCAAAGTGATAAGTCACACTCATACCCTGCCTTCTGGAAATTTGTCAGCTGATTCCTTCATGGATTTCTCTTGACTCATCTTCATCAACTTTATGTACATTCTTGGTTCTACTCCCTATTGAAGGGGGCATCTAAGTATCCAAATACATTGAAAAGGGAAGTTTTCCAAAAGAGAGAAGGCATTTGGGGAGATATGCAAAATCCAAGAGTGATATAGACAACAATTTTACTGACAGTTGCCTGGCATCAGGCTAGCTGACATTGTTGAGTAGTACTCCAAAGACACTGAGAACTGACAGCAATATTGAACCATTGCCCATGTAGCTTCCCTGCCATTGGCTACTGTTAGAATTAGTTCTCAAACTTGAGCATACACCAAAATCACGTGGAAGATTTTCTGATTAAGTCTTACATGGAGCCTGAAAATATGTATTTCTAACAATCTCACCAATTATATTATTCCACACTTTGGGAAAACTCATGTTCTTACCTTGCTAACTCCACATGAGTCTTTTTTGCCCATGTGGGTCTCTTAATATATTGTAGGGACTAAATTCACTTTGCACTTATATATTGGAATCTTTTTGTTTTAAAATAAGAAACTCTTTCAACTTCAGCCACTTACTTTCTGTGATTCAGTATGGTTCTTTTTTCAATTGACACATGTCCCATTGTTGGGTTGGGGATAAGACCCTAAGGACATAAGAGATAAAACTGGATTACATAAAAGTGAAAAGAGGATGGAGAAGTTCATCAATTGATATCTTGAGCTATTTATTATCTCATTATTGGAAAAATTTCAGGCTTTGTTGCCTAAGAATGTGTATATTGCTGTGATACATGCTTTTTACATGGTATTCTTTACAAAAACTCAAGGATATTTGATTCTGCACATAAAATTTAACTAGAAATTGAGGTCTACGTTATCATCTGTACCATGGTTTTAAAATTATTTTACTGTAAAGTGAATACTATCTCCTATATGGAAAACTTCAGGAGTAACTTTAAGAACTAAGTTCTGGAATAGGGATGTAGCTCAATGGTATAGTGTATGCCTCGCATGTGCAAGACCCAGGATTTGATCCTCAGCAAACCCCACTACACCCACAAGAAATAAAAGCAAAACAAGTTTCTTCACTACCAAGTAATAATTTAGAGGGGTGACTTTGAAAATAAAGCTTAATCCTTCCATTAGAGTGCATGATAGATAATAACGATGATAATGGCTTCCATTATGAAGGCATTACCATCTGCAAGTTACTTGCCAAGCACTTTATTGGAGTCAGCTCCCTTAATAAAGGCATCTTGAAATACATGACTGAGTCAAACTCGTCATGCAGGGAATCAAAATGAGCATGGTTATGACTAGAGAGAAGATGCCTACATATATTAAGAAATATGTCCTTTGAATAAAGTGTGATGAAAGTTGATTTCAATAACTTTACTTTTCCTAAAGACAGTTTTGAAACAATGGAAAAATTGATCTCCAAGCACAAGCAACAATATGTTTCTGGCAGTTAAGGGATTTTTTTTCCCTCAGATATTTCTTCAGCTGGAGATCTTGATATGGCAAATTAATGGATGTTGAAGATTTTTGTGTGTCTTTTTGAAATCTATCAAAAAAGTGTGCCAACCTCAAGTTTACAGTTAAAATAACTTTCACAAATTCGATGCCCATATCACCAGCACTCAGATCAGAAATCAAAATACTACCACTCCCTACCAGTCCTCCTATTGCTCCTCTTTATAGTCACTCTCCTAGAAATAATCAGTGCCCTGATTTCTGACACCACAGGGGAGTTTTGCCTATCTTGGAACTGATAATATTGTTGTGAAATTAAAATATTTTAATTTTTTATTTTTCCTTAAGACTAAAAATAGTCTTTGGTGATATTTAATAAGGGCTCCAGTTTTATGGACAAAAGGAGGAGACAAGATATGCAATACCTCAGGTAGATCAGGAGTAGTGGAGTAGTTTGTGTGGCAGGGAGACCACACTGAGCACCTAGGGAGGGCTGGGTATTACATGGCTAAAATGTGCAGTGCCTGTTGATAGGACTGAATGGGTTTAGAACAATATACAAAAGTGTGTTTTCACATTAACTTTTGCTCTTTCTCCAGAAAAGGTGATCCACGCTCTTGGACTGTTGTTGCTGGGGACCATGATAGAACCCTAAAGGAATCAACTGAGCAGGTGAGTAGTTTTTTTTAAAGGTCATTCCATCCGCCTTCTAAAGGATGTCATGTGCCATCAAAAACCTTTAGCTAAAATATGATTATTTATGGATGTTCTAATGCCCCTTTACACTTATAATGTATACCTGTTTTTAAAAGTGTATTTTGAGATGAAATTTTAATTTGAGAATTGGGTGAGGCAGGTCAGGAAGCACAGATCTGGGTTGATTGATTGTGCATAGGTCTGCAGAGTTTTGTTTATCCAGGATCATCAATCCTCAGAATGTGGTTCATTGCCTCCCATAAATTATAAACCAAGATTACCCTTTTAGAATTAGTACAAAATCATTTTCATTGCTGATGTATAGACATGAAGAGATTCAAGATTTATTCGGGACCATTATGCAAGGAAGTAGCTTGACTCTTTGATTTTCTTATCTTGTAATTGTTTACCCGCCCTTGAAATAGGTGAGAAGGACCAAACACATCATAGTGCATGAAGACTTTGATATAGTAACCTATGACTCTGATATTGCTCTAATACAATTGAGCTCTCCTCTGGAATACAACTCAGTGGTGAGACCAGTATGTCTCCCACATAGCATGGAACCTCTGTTTTCCTCTGAGATCTGTACTGTGACTGGATGGGGAAGCACTAGTGAAGGTGGGTACTTAACATCTAGCAGCACTATTTATGAGAGTGTAATTTTTAAAAATATGTTAAGCAAATATCAAGCAGTATTTGCTTTAGCCTCTCTTCCTTCTGAAAGGAAATAATGTTTTACTTATAATAGCTCAGTAAGTGATTAGAGAATGAGCAGTCTTAAATTTTTCCTTCTGAATTATTTAAATAGATTAGATCAGGGGTCAGACCTCTGAAAAGGGCCAGATAATAAGTCTTTTAGGCTCTGCAGGCCATATGGTCTGTCAGGACTACTCAATTCTACCTGTGTAAGCTGAAGACAATACATGCCACATTAGGAATGCCCATGTTCCAACAGCACTTCATTTATGAAATTTAAGACATAGTATGCATATATGATTAAGAGTATTTTTTAGATTTTTTTCCAACCATCTAAAAATGTGAAAAATATTCTTAATTCATGGATTATATAAAATATGCCCAGGGTCTGTTGGTATATGACCCAGAATTGATCCTTGGTTGGGTATGCTGACCCTTAGGCTAGATTATAAGGTTCTTAAAGCCATAGTAAACACAGAAAGCTCTGAATAGATTGATGTTTGCTTTCTGCTTCTTTTACTGTATCAGATCATTTTATTTTCATTCCATTTGTGTCATTTGCAACAGAGAGGAGTTATCTTTGATTCCTAATGGTATTCTTGTTCACAGCTTACTATGTTACCTATAGCCAAATTGCATTTCATAAAATCTTCACAACTATCATAGCAAATTTTATCATTCTCATTTTCCAAATGAGGTTGTGGCCCTATGTTTTAAGTAATTTTGTAAGATCTCATGACTATTAAACATCAAAGTTAGGACTTAAGGCCAGCATGGCTCATCTTATAATCATTCCTTGAATGGCTTCTCATTATATTTAGAAAAAAATCTAAACACTAGCTTAGTTTGGAAATCTCTGATTTGGTCTCCACTTAACTCTCCAATATCATTTCCTCCTTTTGTCCCCTTGTTTGTTAATCTTCTGATACCATGGCCTTCTTTCTTAAATGTCAAACTTGTCCTGCCTTCTAAAGATCTGCACTTTCTTTCTCTCCACTTGGAACACTCTATTGCAGTTTTTGCAGAGTGGCTCTTCATCATTCCATTCTCAAATGAAATGTCACTCTCCTTCTTGGGCCACACTGCTGCAGCAAGACTACCCTTCCATCCTTCCTTGCTACCTAGTTTTATCATCTCAATGCACTTGAACATTCTTGGCATTATTTTTTGAAATCATTTTCTACAACTCACCCATTAGTATCAGAGATACATCTTGGAAGCAGATCTGTCATTCACCACTCTCTCCTCAGGGGCTAGAAGTTAACTGGCATATACTATGCTTCAGTGTATATTTGTTGACTGGCTTCAAAGTCCTTAAATAAACATACCTAACTCATTTCAAACTTTTTCAATTCTATGACTACTGGACGAATGAGCCATTGTTAGTCTTATAAAATATAATTCATTCTTTGCATCCAAAAGGAGGGAATGAAGTCTTAATTTTGAAATATGGCCAGCCACACTGAGAGGATAGTTCCTGAAAAGGAGTATTAGTGCATTCAAAGGGACATAAGATTTACAGTTGGACCTAGGATTGAGTCCTAATTCTGTTCTGTAAAAACTACATGATCACATTTTCAGAGGTTGGGTTTTACAATTGTGAGATCAGTATGATTAACCTACCTCACAATATTGTTGTATTATGGAATTAGAGTTTAATTTAAAGTTTTACATAAATGTGAAATTATTTTTGTTTTGCTTCAAAAGATACAGGATACATAGCACTAAACTTTTAAAAATAGCCATAAATCTAGAATAAGTGACACAGAATACACTAACATAGGTTTGCCCAAGTATGAGAAGAAACTTCTCATTTGTTTACCATTAGTGCCATCTAACATTGAAGATGAGATTGGGCTTTAGCAATAGTAGAGGAAGAGAATATGATTTTGATTTCCCTAGATCATCATATAAGCATATATGTTCATATACTTGTAAGTGTATATTTATATAATATAGTTATATTATATTTATGTAAGTCATATATAGTACCAATTCACATCTTCCTGAGTTTTTCTTTTTGATTTTGTTTTCTTTTTTTTTTTTTTTTGGTGTTAAGAATTGAACCCAGGGTCCTGCACATGTTGAGCACACACTTTATCACTGAACTACACCCCCAGTTCCTCTGAATTCTTATGCAGCACTATTTGATATGATAAAACTTAAACTGGAAATAAGCTAGGCAAAAAGCTATTCTCCCAGTGGCCTCCCCTCTACAAAGATGCCACATGGGGAAATGAAGACATGCTGCATGAAACACTTGTATTCTCCCACCCCCAATATTCTCTGTCTGCTCAGGAAAAATAGAAAGGCTACAGTTATGTAGGTACAGAGCAAGTCTGAACTTAATATTTCTTTGGCATCACTTTCTGCTTACTTCATCATCAAGCCCTCTCTTTCTGAATCTGTTTCCTCGGTAGACGGTGGCCTAGCCAGTCGCTTACAGCAGATTCAAGTGCCTGTGTTAGAAAGAGCGGTCTGCGAACGCGTTTACTATTCTGCTCATCCAGGAGGGATCACAGACAGGATGATCTGTGCTGGCTCTGCTGTATCTGGAAGGAAAGATTTCTGCCAGGTGAGAGCATTCTGACTTTGCACAGGAAGACAGAAAGTTTGGCACCTACTCAGAGTCTCCTTAGGCAGGAGGAAAACTGTTGAAGGTACAAGCATCCAACTTCTTACCACATCCCTGCACAAAGGCCAGGAGGGGTGCAGGAAGATGTGTTACTTAATCCTAACAGCCTGCAATGTCAGTGGTAGAAAGCAGCCGTACAACCAGAATGGCCAGTGGTAGATAGGAGCCCATGAGTAGGGAGGGTATGGCAGGACCACTAACCAGGCTTGAAAGTGGGGGAAATGTGTGCGTATACATTTAGGGTTTGGGGAACAGGTGATAAGTGAATAAGGTTTCAAATTAGTATATCCTACTTAGAACTTTAAAAGTTTTATTGTTTTATTATTAATCTTCTATATTTTAATTTTTTATATATGACAGCGGAATGCATTACAATTCATATTACATATATAGAGCATAATTTTTTGTATCTCTGGTTGTATAAATAGTATATTCACACCAATTCGTGTCTTCATACCTGTACTTTGGATAATAATGATCATCACATTCCACCATCATTAATTACCCCAAGCCCCCTCCCTTCCCCTCCAGTCCTTTAAATTTTTAATTGTAGATTAAAATAATCACTAAGAGGAAAATAAGAACCTAATGGTAAAAATGGTTTTCATATTCAGTGAAAAATCACAAGTCTCTTTTCAGTGAGATTATAGAAGCACCAAGCTATACAGATCTATATATGCATGCCACTGGCAAGTTCAGGATCAGCTAAGAAAAAAGAAGCATATGGATGAATACTTTGAGGAATACCGGCTTCAATATTCATAAAGTGCCGCAGTCTGGCTGGGCACAATCAGGAGCCACTTGTCAAAAGAAACTAACTTTATTTTTAGAACTACACACACCAAACAGAACAGCTCCTCAGGAAAAATCCTCAGAGCCCAACTGCCACCACTGGCTTCCCACAAGCCTCTCCCCAACCACAAGCCTCTCCACCTCCCACAATCCTCATCATTTCCCATACTTCTGGGTGGCCTGAGCATTGAGGGTGGAGAGTGGGAAAGAGCCTTTGGCACAAAGCCAGGACTTGTGTGGGGAGATCTGAGGCCGATTGGCTGGATCGCATGGGCGGAGCCAAAAAAGCCCCCCAATGAGCAGCTCCGTAGTCTGAAAGGGCAGGGAAACAGCCCAATGAGCATCACCTCAGAGGAGCCAATCAGCTAGATGTTGCTGATGATAAAGTCAACTAATAAATGTGACTTTAGATACATCACCTCTGAAGAGTTGTTGATACTCTGCATGCCCACCTTTAAACCCTAGTCTGGATTTGGGGGGTAGCCACGCTTGAAGGAAATTTTGTGTCTGTAGGTTAGGCAGATATTTCTCCAGATTTAACACTCATACTGGTCTATGGTAAAGAGGGAAGAAAAATGAATCTGTTCTTCTCTGCTTCTTTATAACCCTCCCCACTACTACCACCAGCAATCAGTCAAAATCATAAACAAATGAATGTCACTTCTATGGGGAGAAGCTACTGGGCATTCATCAAGGTGGAAGTCCTTCCATATGAAAATATGGAGAGAAAAGGAAGGAACACCCCCTCGCACTTAACAGGTACTCTCATGGTGTTCATCACCACTTAAATTCTGTTTGTGTTGCTTATCTTAATTCTCAATACCCAGAAGCAGATCCTAAGATGAGTATTGAAGTGTAATGGTCTATTTCAGGAAGTGTAGACATCACAGGGAAGAAAGTAAGAAGGTACAAGGAAGGGAAGGCAGCCAATCAAGGATGAGCACTTACACCAGCTTACACAGGGAGGGACTAAGCCTTATCCTGCATGGAAACTGTGCAGTGATGTAGACCATACGTGGTATATTCATCTCATCTGAGGGGTGAGGAAACTGGGGGATTTACATACTACTTCCCCAAAGTCACAGTTTTAGGGCTGTCTGGAAGGAAGCTATTAATTCCTCATCATTTCCCATACTTCTGGGTGGCCAGAGCATTGAGGGTGGAGAGTGGGAAAGAGCCTCTGGCACAAAGCCAGGACTTGTGTGGGGAGATCTGAGGAACCTGGGAAGGGTACTCCCACTATAGCACATAACTGTTCACCTTAAACAATAAAATAGAAAAGAAGTCTGAATTAATGTGTTCATTCTTCTCCTTGGTGTATTGAGATATTTAGGAATGGACTGTCTGTTTGAATCAAGGAAATCCCAAATGGCTTTATTGTCTGTCATATGTGACAGCATCTAACATTAAGAGACATGCTTATTTTGTGTCAAGAAAGCAAAAAAAAAAAATGAGATAGGTTTAAAGTGGTCCATGTCACAGGTGACCCAAATATCATCATGCCATTTGGCACCTATTATTTAAGCTTCATTCAACTGTCACTTAGTCTGCAGCATGACCAAATTTACTGCCAACATGAAGAAAAATAGGAGTTGAGATTCTATTAAATATAGCCAGCTATCTTTTCAGTAGACACTTGGCTACTGAAGGGTGATTTTAGAAACTCACTTTGATCAAATGGACTCTAATATTTCTATCATGAATGATTTTTACCCTCCTGTGTATGCTCAGAAGTAATGATCCTACTAATGTAATTTCTCATTTAGGAAGGTAAAACTAACAATGTCAGAACATAGAGACTTGGAGCTTTCAGATATGCAATGCAGAATCCTGTTCTTTGCTCACTGGATTTCAAAATTTTTACTTCAAGTTGTTTTGACCTATAAAGCAATAGATGTGTATCTTCACAAAGTGATACATGTCCTGCTCCTGCTTTCTAAATTTGTTTCATATTTTTCCTTGATAACCGTTTAAGCCACACTGATATTCTTCTAACCTCCCAAGTTCCCAAGTCTTGGTTATCTCAGGGCCTTAATCTAGACTTATCTTCTATATAAAATGCTATTTATTCCTCTAGTCTTTCTTTCTTTCTTTTTTAATTGGATATTGAACTCAGAAGGACTTAACCACTGAGCCACATTTAGAGACAGGGTCTTGCTAAGTTGCTTAGGGCCTCACTAAATTGCTGAGGCTGGCTTTGAACTTGTGATCCTCCTGCCTCAGCCTCCCGAGTCACAGGGATTACAGGTATGCTCCACCGTGCCCACCTCATCCATTAATAATACCACTGTTTCTTCCAAATCTTTATTTTTGCTTATTTAATTTAAACAAAGCAAATATTTGGGGAAGATTGACTCTTTCATCTGAGTTTTTGATGCAGATTTCTCTTGTGAAATGTGTTCCCTCTAATCCTAAAACCAAAGTAGCAATATTTAACAGTAAATAAGAAAAATTCTGTTTTCAAATTCTGTTCCTTCCTGTATATATGCATATACATACATGTACATGTAAGGACACATATATACCTACCTTTATTCTCTACCATTCACTCTGAATATTTCCTTTATAGCTGCTATTGCCATCTTATTTGTTCATATTCTATCTTGCTCAGTGTGCCTGGCTCACTGTAGGCATTGAATAATTTTTAAATAAAAACTATCACTTGTTTATGGAATGTGCTAGGCCTTATGATAGATACTATCAATGAAAGATAAATTAGATAAGTTCCCTATATCATGGAATGTTTGTAGCTGCCTGAAAAATTAACAGTGTTAGTGGTGAAGAATGAATGATTAAAAACAACACCTAACTGGACACATCAGACCATTTTGAAACTGGAAGGGTGTCGTAAGTATAATTTTACTTTATGAAAAAAATTAAACCCTAAGAAAATGTTAATTGTTCTACATTAAACTAGGGGCTCTCCTTACTTCTAATTTAGGGAAGTTTCCTTCTGGGAAGTTTTTCACATAAAATAAACAGATCTCAAATATGTACCTTCAGCTCAAATTCAATTAAATGCAAGATTCAGTTTGGCACTAAATATATTTGATCCAGTCCCTTTCTGAAAAAGGACTGACTAAAAATATGAAAAAAATATGTTAAAATAAAAATCTTGATTTAAGGCTTGTTATTGATGCATCTAATAGAACTTCATCATAAGAAAACATTTATTATGAGGCAGGCACTATACAATGTCCCCTGGAATACAAAGATGAATAAGGCTTGAAGTCTTGAATACTGTGGTTTTACTAACTGGTGATGTCATTTATAGAAGACCCTGCTGAGGGGACTGGGAAGATTGAGAAACTGTGTTTTCTAACTTTTTGAACTAGGCTTTGTCTTGACCCTGGAATCAAATGATTTTTAAAAATTTTTCAATTTCTCATTCTTTGGGTTGTACATGATGTAGAATTACATTGATGTGCCATCATATATGCACATAGATAGTAATGCCTGATTCATTCTGCGATCTTTCCTATTCCCATCCACCTTTGTCTAATCCAAAGTACTTCTATTCTTCCCTAACCCGTGCTTATGTGAATTAACATCCACATATCACAGAAAACATTTGGCTTTTGGTTTTTAGGGATTGGCTTATTTCATTTAGCATGATATTCTCCAGTTTCATCCATTTGCCAATAAATGCCATAATTTCATTCTTGATTGCTGAGTAATATTAATATTCCATTGATTTTTATCTGTTCCCTTTTAAAATGGTAAAAATACAAATTTACAATTAAGGCATAAAAATTGAAAAGGAGCAAGTCATTTTAAAGAATCAAATACATTGTGAACAAATTATTGGTCATTCCTGTTCTAAAATGTGAAAGCAGGAACTTCAGAATAAAGTGGTTTTCTGGAACATTTTTTTCTTATTTCAGGGAGACTCTGGTGGGCCATTAGTATGTAGACATGAAAATAGCCCCTTTGTCCTCTATGGCATCGTCAGTTGGGGAGCTGGCTGCATCCAGCCATGGAAGCCAGGTGTATTTGCCAGGGTAAGGGTCTTCTTGGACTGGATCCAATCCAAAATCAAGGGTAAGTTTTTTTTATGTAATTTTTATTTATATATGACAGCAGAATGCATTACAATTCTTATTATATAGAAAGAGCACAATTTTTCATATCTCTGGTTGTATACATAGTATATTCACACCAATTTGTGTCTTCCTACATGTACTTTGGATAGTAATAATCATCACATGTCACCATCATTAATTACCCTATGCCCTCTCCCTTCCCCTCCAACCCCTCTTATATATTATAAAACAATGCCTCTTTCTTATAAGTACTGCATGCTAACCCATTGTGCCACTGGAGTTCTAAGCCTCTTTCTTTAGGGTAGGTTTGGGATTGTCAAGTATGGTATAAATGAGTATTAGAGAAAAGAATAATATTTCATTTAGTTTCTAAACATATTAAAATGCAAGATTCTATAAGAATAACTTCCCCCTTTGTCAAAATTGAGTAAAACTGACTTTTCCTAAGGCTGCTTTAATTCTAGATTTGCATTTTCTTTTAATAGTAGCTGCTTTGGGACTGAGTACATTTTGTCCTTAGGCTTTCATCTTTATTTTTAATGTATTATCCCCCAATACAGGTATTACTTCACTTCAAACAAAAAATAAAAGCAAAACCTTAAGAAAACAATTGCCAACATCCACACTTCCAACAGACAGTGCCTCTGGGTCAGGTAATATGTCTATACATTATCTCATTAATACATCCAGAAAGAATTGAGCAAAAAGCATTATAAACCTGGATGCACTAATTTTCTTTGGAATGCCACAAACTCTGTAGTTTCTTTCTAGTTGGTAGGAGCCACATTGTTTGAGGTTGCAGGTGATAAATCATGTAGTTGTGAACAAGTGCTTGAATTTGGGGGAATTGCATAGGATTATTTTAAACTCTGAGACATTTACTCCTACCGTTTAAAGGTCCTTAGATTTCCAGATATCTTTCTTGGTAAAGACTGTGTATAAGATTAACAAAATTTGCATCAGAATCTCTCTTGGGCTGGATATATGGCTCAGTGGTAGAGTACTTGCCTACTGTGTGTGAGGCCCTGGGTTTGATCTGAGCACTGCAAATAAAAATGATGATGATGATGATAATAACAATACTCTTAATTCTACTACAATTGCCATTGTATGTTTGCTACTAGGATTTTTTGTTTTAATCAAAAGTTAACAGTAATCAGAGAATTAGAAGTCTGTAACAGACTTGCATGAAAGTTCTGGGATACCACAGTCTTTTTCACCACCTCTGCCCAACCTCCACATGCACTCCTCCCAAGATGACAACTAGTAGGAGTTGGAAGAAAGTTGAAGAGGTTGCAAGACAGAGAAGGTAGAATTATTAGAGTGCTGCCTTGAGTAGAAGAAAGGGGCTGGGACTTACTGCTTAAAAGGAAGGGTAGTATTGGATAGAAGCAAAGTTCATACAGAGTTGTTGGATGAAAGGCTAAATATTTAGGCAGTGATGCAGGTGTGCTGGTGTATGGGTGCTTGCGGAAATTCTTTTCTGATTGCTTCTATTTTCTCAGCAGATGATAGAAGGATCTATGTAAGAGGGTTTGATTAATTTTAAGAGAAAACAGCAAGTATGAAATTTTTCTTTAGAAAAATGATAGTGTTTGGGCTAGAAAGGTGTGGTAGGGTTGCTGAGCAGCAGGACCCTCCCCAAGGTGAATGATCATGAATTTAGGGAGAGACTTCCCAGTTAGCCTGGATGTATGTTTTCCTCTGAAGAAACTGAGGTAGACTCAGAGTGGGTGGAGATTATATCATAATGAAGCTTCCCCAAGTATATGAGAATGTAACGTGTGTGAAGAAGTGATTAAAATGATCATTGAAATTTTTAAAAAGTATTTTTAGTTGTAGACGGACACAATATCTTTTTATTTTTATGTGGCGCTGAGGATCGAACCCAGTGCCTCACGTGTACTAGGCAAATGCTCTATCACTGAGCCACAACCTCAGCTCTGAAATTTAAGATAGGTAAAGAATGAAATATGGATGAGAGATGGGTTTGGGATAAACGAGAGATAAATTACAAATCTCAAAGGTAGAGTGTTGGGTGGGGGAGCTGGAAAGATGGAAGATTTTGGTTCAAGAGAGTGATACTTTTTTAAAACTTATTTTTTGACCCAAAATGTTAAGATTTTATTTACAATGCATGTTTGTGGTACAGAAAGTAAAAATGCTGTTACAATTTTGGTATAACTGGTAGCCATGGATGGTTGACTCGCCAATCACAGCTATCCATGCTACAGCAAGTCTTACCCCCCCCAAAAAAAAACCGTAACAATGCTTACAATTTTGTTGGGGCAAAGTCCTCTTGGTGGATTACCAAGAGGCACGAAAAGGAGGAAGGCAGAATGTCACAGGAACTTCTTTGGCTCTTTGGATGGGTGGGTGTCCAGGGGTTTGTATCACAGCTACCATTTTTTGAAACATCTATCAAATCCATATGCAGTCCAATCTATATTGAACAGTTCTGGTTTTGCAGTTTATCTGGGGTCTTAATCATCTTCTCTTTCATCATCTGTTTCTCTTTCTCTTTTCACCTTTCTCACTTTCTTCCTCTTCATCCTCATCTTCATCTTTACCTACTGCTCCCTCATGCCTAAATTCTTCCTCCCCACTGACTTCGTCTTTATTATCTTCCCCTTCTACATTTTCATTTTCATCAAGCTCTTCCTCCTCATCCTTCTCCTTTTCCTCATCTTCATACTCCTTGTCTTCATCCACACCATCCACCTCCGCATCTGAGTGGGGTCCTTCTCTGTCATCTTTGTTATAGCCTTCCAGGTAGGTCGACAGGGCCAAGAGCCTGAACACACTTGTGGAAGGCTTGGAGTTATTGCTATTGACCAAATCTCGAGAGGCTGACCATTGGGATGAATGGCCAACGTCAGGTGGAAGATGAGCTCACTGTAGGAAAATTGAGGAATTGGGAAGCTTCACTGCTGGAACCATTGTCTACATAGCTATTGAAATCACCAAGAATTATGACAAAAGTAATGTTGGAGCAAATAACCACTAAATAATCTAGGAATGAGGAGGAGTGACCCAGGAGCATTTGTCTGGCAATATAGGAGTCAAAGAATGAATGCTTGGAGTGATGCTGATTTGAATTAAAAGTAAATCTAGAATGGAGACCGAGATGGAGAGAAGACATGGGTCCAAAGTCTTGAAATCTTTAGTTTCAATGATGTGAGTTAAATGAATGATGCCAATGACTACCTAAGTTAATACCTAGAAAATACTTAGAAAGGTGGGGAGGAGGATCTGACTCATGATAAAGGTCATTAAGTTGTGGTGATGGTTGGCCACAACACCAATGTATTCTTTGAGTTCCATTCAGGCTATTAAAAAATGAATGTTAAAGTAAAGAAAGGGGCTGGGGTTGTGACTCAGCAAGCACTCTTGCTTGCCTAGCACACGTGAGGCACTGGGCTCAATACTAAGCACCACATAAAAATGAAATAAAGATTGTGTGCCCACCTACAACTAAAAAATAAATATTAAAAAATGTAAAAAGATATTTTTATGTATTCACAGAAATGCTTATGCATGCCTAAGAACTTTGAATTTTTTTATGATAGGGTGTTTGTTTGTTTTCTATGACTATTTTATGAGATAAATGTTAGGATTATGTCATGTTAACCTTCAACCACTACTACCACTTGCTTTTTATACTAGGGAATTAGCAAATTATAGCAATGATTTTGAGATTGTTATTCTCATTTATAAAAAAGCAGTGACTGGCTGGTAACTCATGACTCTATGTGATTTTTGTACTAACTCACATTTCTAGGCAGATTTGTCATAGAGGGTCCAAAGAGAGAAAAAAATATTGGACAGACCTATTGGATCCAGACTCTGAAACATCGTGAAAGCTGCACTACTTCAGTTGTTTTGCATAGGGAAGGAACTTAATTATTTTGTTTTACTCACCATGCTCAAATTAGAGAGCCTGGTGGAGAAATAATACAGACAGGGAGATCATTTAGTTTGCTCTTAAAATAGATCTGGAAAATATCTGTTTAATATTTAACAAATAAAAATAATTTACCAAGAAATAACAGGACTAAGCAATGGACTAGATTTCTTAAATTTTTTGCAGGGGAGTACTGGGGATTAAATCTAGGAGGGTCTCAACCACTGAGCCATATTCCCAGACCTTTTTTGTATTTTATTTAGAGACAGGGTCTCACTGAGTTGCTTAGGGCCTTGCTAAGTTGCAGAAGCTGGCTTTGAACTTGCTATCCTCCTGCCTCAGCCTCCTGAGCCACTGGAATTACACGTGTGCGCCACCTATCTTGGCTAGAACCCTGCAGCACTTCATTACCCTTAGGCCACTTATCATATTTAATGTTCATAAAAGTATTTTTATGAATATGCTTCCTTTTACTAGATTAATTTCTGTAGGGCAGAACTTATGAGATAGTGTATGTATTCACTAATCCACATATTAGAATATAAATATATATATTTCATTTTGTAATTGCTTAGAAAATATTTGCCTGAGGAATAAACATAGGGGAAGAAGGAATAGTCAAGGATGAAGCCTAAATGGGACTATTGGGAGGAAAAGCTGATTGCAAAGTCAGTGAACCAGAGAGCTATTGGCACCAAAACTGCAGCAGGTACACTCACAGGTCCAAATGTGCCCTTGGACTTAGCAAGTTCTAGAGTGAGAGACCTCCCTTATGTTCAGCAAGTTCTCTTTTGCTTGACCTCAGTCACTAGTTCTATGAATGTAATCACTTGCCCCCAAAATACTAATAATTTTCTGAGAAATATTTTAAAAATTCAGTTAAAATTAATTTAAAAATCTACAATTTCATTTCAAGAAAATAGAACAAATTTAATGGAATGATCATTTTCTTTACAAGTTCTTGTCAACATGTAACTGATGGGAATAAAGTTTTAATTTTCTTCTTGCGAGCCTGGGTCTTTCAAGTTTGTGATAGAACCTTGTTTCTCTTCGTTTTGTCTTTGTTGGTCCCTAACGTCCATGTGTTCTGAATTGCAGCTTCTGAAGTAAAGCTAGAAGAGCTCAGAGCCTTTTTTTCAACTCCAAGATATCCACTGCATTATAGAAGAAATCTGGAAAGTCCCTAGGTGCTCAGAGTGGCACCAAAGAGTATGATAAAGTTTCCTGTTGTGTGTCTATCATTCCTTGGATTTCATATGTAGAGATTCAGTTCTGATTATTTATGAAACCATGTTGAGAGAAAGATAGCAAGTAATCCTTCCTGGCATTCAAACTCTGTACAAGAAGCTTTTTCTGTGTAGGCAGCTTATGATCAAGAGTGAGTTTTGACTTGGGGAATAATACCACATCTACATTAATTCATGTAAAATAGGAGTACTTTTTTCTTCTAAATACCCTTATTTTTTTTCCAAAATGTGAATTTACAAAGAGGAAGGGGAGAGATAGAGACAGATGCCAAACTTCTTCAACACACCAGGACCCTGCCAGAAGAGAATATATAGTGGAAGAGAAGTTCAAAAGACGTTTAAAAAAAAAAAAAGGAGATTCAAGGGTAGGAGAGGTGAATGAATGAAAACATTAAAGCAAATGATGTTAAATATTTTTTAAATAGAAGGATTAAAAACATTGGCTAATAATAAGACAGCTCTCATTTTTCATTTTATGTAGTGACAAATTTTTGTGTTTCAATAAAGCAAACATTCCACCTTCTGTTTATATGGATGTTGTGAAAACTTTTTGACTTTCAGTTAGAAGTGGGAAGGCAATTAAAATAATTTGGTTAATGAAGGAACATAGAATAAGTTTGGTTAATGAAGGAACATAGAATAAGTTTACATATGTCATCGAAGAAAACTAGAAGACTTTTTGTTCCTCTCAATTCTTGACTTGGAGTGCTATCTTCTTAATAAGATCTACCTTGACAGATGTAAACGGTACCATCCCTGCCTCCATAATTCTTGGTCCCTTATCTTAGCGCTTACTGTCCTCCGATATGTCATGATTGTTTCTCATGGTTGTGGTTTGTCTGTCTTGCCTAGTGAATGCAAGCTTCATGAGTGCTAGAACTTCTGTCTCTTCACTTCCAGAAGCCTCAGTTCATAGATCAATGCCTGAAACATAGAAAGCACTAATTATTCAGTGAAGAAATAGTCACTCTTCAAAGAATCCTTTCTAATTCAAAGTAGCATCATCCATTCCTTCCCATAGTCATTGTTTGTTATGCTGATTACATCATCTGTGGCCTTAGTCTGTCTCTGAAATAATTTATCTGAGTAAAGTGAAAAATTTGTGAAAGTAATACTTTTCTCTTGATCTCTTTTGTATACCTCAAAGTGAATATAGTGCCTAAGGACTTAGGAACATTTTTTTTTTAATTTTTTTTTTTTGCCAGGTTTCCTTTTCTGTGCATTGTTTTTTGCTAAATTGCTCTTCAGAATGATAAACAGTTTCACTGATATTAGCAGTGCATGGGATTCATTTCAACATGCCTAGAACCTCATTATGCCAATTTAAAGGCAGTTTTATTTTTTAATTAATAGGGATAAAGTTTTCTAAATGTTGGTTAGCTATTATAATTTTTATGAATTTCCATTACTCTTTGTCCATTTTTAAAATTTGAATATTGTTTATAAAGTTTTACAGGAACTTCAGATACAGAAGTAATTTTCCTTTGTCATAAGTTACAAGTGTTTAGCCTTATTGTTGCTATTTGTTTTTAAATTTTATATTGATATAAAAATTATTAAATTTACTTATTTAAATCTATTTACACAAGTCTTGGATCTTTGATTTATCCCATCACCTTTAGGTTTGAAATTTTTCCATTTTATGTCAGGAGAATCTTTTTAATTAAAAAGAACTTGCCTCTTGCATCCTGCTGCAGTGTTTTCTCATGTGGTAGAATGATTCTGTACTTATCTCTTTCTTAGAATTATTTTCTTCCTAATTTATAGCTCTGTCTCTATAATATATTAAATTCTTTATATAGAAATATATTTCCTGGGGAAGCATTATCACCTTTCAAAATCATTAGCCATTGTTATAGGTTTTTGAGGAATCCCTGTAATTTTCCAACCAAGCATTTCTGTGATGTAGAATTGTCAGCTAGAATCTTCTGGAATTGTTCTTTCTCTTTAGATTATAGATGTCAAAGCCACAAGACTAATGAAAATATTACTCCTTCCTTGACTGAATGGCATTCTATACTGTCAAATGCTATGTTTCTCCTTGTGAGAACTACCAATACATTCAAGAATTATATTCATCTCTTCTTGGTGCAAATAAATATGTGAACATTCCTCAGATATTTTAACATCATTTGCCCTAATATGCTAACTAATGTATTTTCTTCTTTTGCCTTAGAATATGATTCCCTTCCTCCCTGCAAATGTTTGTGGAGCACCTAATTGAACCAGGGACTAACTTCTCTTAGTCCTGGGAGATTTAGTAGTGACCCAAATAGATAAAAATCCCTACCCTCATTAAACTCATTCTAATACGGAGGGACACATAATAAGGTAAAATATATATTAGATGGAAAGTTTAAGGGAGAGGGGGATGCACATGGTAAAAGGGTAAAGAAGCATCTGGATTAAATGCCATATAGCTCAAAGTACTATAATCAGTGAATATTTTTCTGTTATCAGTGAATATCATTTCAAAACCTTTAGATAACACCTAAAGGTTTTGAAATGATAAGTCATTCCCAATAGTAGAGGCATGTGATTCTAAATGACTCCCAAGTTTTTTCTATACCATCTTAAAAAGTACTTTGAATTGTTTTAGAATTATAATTTTCCCTCTCATCTCATAGTTTCACCAAGTAAAGCAACCAGGAGAAGATTGACAGTAGGGAAAGGAAAACTTTCAGGTAGGAAAACCTTTGTTCCTTTTTGGATCTTTGTAATGACATTTTTAATAGTTAGGTTATTTTTCTGGGATAAAAATGACACATTTGTGTCATTTTAAAGATAAAATAATTTATAATTATCCTTCAAGGGGAACCTGGTAACATAATAGACTATGGAGTGTAGGGGAGTATTAGAATCATAGACCCAGGTTGAGATCTTGGCTGTCTACTCCACCAGTCTGACTTCTGAGTAAGTCACTTGAGTTCTACAGCTGTATTTCCTCATCTCACAGAATGGAGTACATTCCTGTCTGATTTAAATTAATTGCTCTACCTAAAGTATAGAAACTACTAAAAAAAAATCCATCTTTCCTTGAATTGACTACTTAAAAACAAACAAACAAACAGGTGAACTACATCAAGGAAAACTTTACTTAATAATTTTCACATGCTCTGGATCATGGCAAGGATGACGTTCTGTTCCCTTTTAAACAAGGTGCTTTAGCATAAGCTATATTGTTTTCAGAATCCAAGATATGTTTGTTCATTTTAGCTGTAATTGTAGGGGATGAATTTGTTAGGAAAATCTACTTAAGCCATCTGAGATTTGGTCATGTCTAAATGAGAAACTGGTCAGTGAATCATGATTGACTTGTAAATCATCAAGAATGATAAATTCCTTTGGGTATTTAGTTTCATGCTTGCCTAGCATGTGCAAGGCCCTAGATTTGAAACCTAGCACCCCCTGCTGCCAAAAGGTATAAGTACATATAATACTGTGTGTGAGTATATATGTGTAAGTATAAATTTTCAAACATGGCTAAGATAGTTGATTGCAAGTTAATATTTTTGACCATGATTGTGATTTTTTTAATACCACAGAGAGCTTTTTCTGCAGCTATATTTCTAGTGGATTCAGAAATTTGGGTTCTAAATATTAGCTGTTTGATTAGCTCTGGACAATTTATTATCACTATCAGTTTTCTTTATAGTGTTATAAAAACAATAGTTTACAATAATGTTAACTATGTAATTCAGAGTTGTTATATTATACTGTAGAAGTTAACTAGTTAGACTTTTTCCCTATATTTTTAAATTGGTGACTTATAGTTTTACATGATGGTGGGATTTGTTGCAAATTCATACATGCAAGCAATATATCAGTATAATTTGGCAAATATCCTATCCAAAATTTCTCCTTTTCCTCCCCTCAAGTGAGGCTTTTGATTCTGGGTGAATGCAAAAAACTGAAAGCATTAGAGAATATATTTTTCTAGGCCTGAGTGTATTGCACATTTGGGAAAATTGTTAAATGAATAATAAAAGCATATCATATTAAAGCTTTCTCTTGAGCTATATTAAGAATATGACTTTCAGATGGAATTGGGCAATCAATAGGCATTATTGACTTATTTCATATAATCCTCCATTGACTCTAGGCTATGTCAAAGATAATTTTGATACGTTAAATGTTTAAAATCGGGAGGCTTTTCCGTGAAACCAACCTTTGGATAATTACTTTTTCCTGTTAGACAATTAAGGAAGAAAGTTGATTGCTTGATCTGAAAAGACATATAGAAAATCTGTTTTAAAAAAAAACTAGTTTTATTCTCATTCCTTCTAATTCATTTTTGTCTAGGTTCAAAGGGTAGTGAAATAACCAGAATTCAAACCAAGAGCCCACAGTCGCTTGTGAGGATATTCTTAAAAAGTTCTCAGGATACAGATCTTAAAAAGTTCTCAGGATACAGACCTTAAAAAGCTCTCAGGTTACAGATCCCAAGATATTCTCACAGGATGATTATGAGGTAAAGAAAGGAATGTTTATTATAATGGAAGATGTATATGAACTGTACTTGACTAACATCAACAGTGGTATTTGCTTAAATCATTATTCTCCATCTTCTCAAACAACATACTCCTAGGAAACCCTGGATCAATTGCTTTTAACATGAAAACAACAACAAAAGACTGTTTCTGTAAATAAATTGTGCTTTTTCCACAAAAGAGACAATTTATTAGGCAAAATGGAAAGTCAAGTCTCTGTCAAAGAATTGTGGAGATGGAAATAGTGTGTAAAATATTCTGAATACAGTAGGTATTCAGTAAATTGTTCCTAAATTCCCACAATATAAAGAAATTCCATTGAATTAAGAAATAAAATACATTTAAAATGAGAAAATTTTTGTTAGAGAGTTGAAGGCAAATTCTGGCATACATAAATCCTTAAGCTCTTATAGATTGCCGATCAGAATTTGGAATAATACACAGAATCAACTGTTCACCTTCATATGTTAATTTTAACTTTTGACAAATTGGATACTAGCAAGTAATTTTAGTTGGTCAAATTTAAAGTAGAAAATCTTTATCTCATCCAAGCACAAAGAAACAGAAAAGGCTCACCGAAAGTCAATAACATTGATACATTAAATTCTGAACAAATAACAGTATATTCTGTTTGAAAATTGTTTTTCTTTCATCTATGCCATAGCTGCCTCTGAGGTTTAGTAGCCCCTTTAATTCACATCATTCGCCTTGAAATTATCAAGTTCCAGATGAAGCTAACACCCTTGATTTATCAGAGTCACCTGTGGGTTTATGAAGGATTTGTATCAGGCAAAAAAATAGGTAATTAATTTTCCATGATCAACTATGCTATTAATTTTATGATACAGTCCTAGATTGTTTTATGTTCCCTGGAGCTTACAGATGACCTAAACTAGTCCCTCTTATGTGATGTTGAAATAGCCTTACTGATATCATTTTCCTAGATTTATAATGGAGATTAACATAACATCTTTTCAGGTTAAGTTAAAAACAAAACATGGGTCACACCTAGATTAAATTTGTTTAAAAAAATCACTGAAAACACAGATACATAGGAAAGGGCATTTGATGGGTTTATTAATTATGTAGTTGCTGTTAATTAGTTACAGTAACATTTATTTTCAAAGAAAGAGAAATCCAGAAGCACCTCTATTCAACAGTTGAACTCCACTAATGCTGAAGTTCGTGTTATTCTTTTGTCCTTTCCTTAATAATTACATAATGGTTATTTTTATTCTCAGCCTCATATTGGAGAAATAAAGGAATAGCCCTATTAAGAAGGGAAACATGTTTCTAAGTATCCTGTATCAGATTTAAATCTTTTCACCCAGAGCTGTTACATGGTCCTACTTGACTTGGGAGATAGATAGGAGAAACAAAATGGAAAAAGAGTTTGAGAGGTCAACCAACATTTCCTAACATGGGAGAACGTAGCAGTACACAGTTCTGGAATCTGATCCTGGGTCTGTATCTTAGTTCTATCTCTTACTAGTTCAGTGACTTTGGGAACAACCCCAAGGCTTACTAAAACTCAATTTTCTTATTTGTGAGAAAATACCCTCCGCCATCATGTACACATACACATGCACTATAAATTCCCAATGCACTTTATCAGGATAGGTTAACATCCCAGAGGAAAAGCTGTATGGACTTTTGTTGAACTTTGGCTCCCTAAGGAGCCAGATGCTAATGTCACTGTCCACTCAGGTATGCTTCTGCCAGTGTTGATGCAGCGGCTAGGTGCTAAAGCAATGTCCTTTTTATTCCTTGGATTTATATTACCATCCCAGAAGTAAGTACACTAACAATCTTTGGGTTTCCACTAAGGGGAATGCTAAGTACTGAATTTTCTTAGATCCTGAGCAAATTTACCTTGAAAGAGGTTTGAGTTTCTTGTGGGAAGAATGAAGTGTCTCTGTGTTTATACCTGTCTTGCCTTGGAGAACAGTTTCGTTGCACTGCCTCATGAGGTGGTTTTGAGAATAAAATGAGAGAATCCATGCTCATCAATATAAAGAAACCAAGCTGTGGGAATTAGAAATACCCATTCTGATTCATGTTCTTAAAATTGTGTTGTTTAGAAGAATATTAGACAATTGTTTTCCTGTTGCTCTCCTCCACAGTGCACACAGAGGCTGGAAGAACAACGGAGAGAAAGAGGAATACATTAGTGATATAACTTATGTTGATAATGAACTACATATATGATATAGGAAAAAAATCAAGATGGAACAGCATTCTTTAGGGGCCCTTATGAAGGGCCATTGCAAATCAAATCTCCAGATATGTCAGCAGATGAACTTTGAACTAGTCTATAGATAAACCTACCCAAGTATGTGAGCTGACCTTTCAAAAAGACTGTTAACCTCCGCTGACCTTCTGTACAATGGACTCCTGCCCTCAAACTACTGAAATTGAAACCACACCCAGTCCCTTTCTTACAGGACAACTTTGGCTTTTGCCAGCACCAATCATAATTCCTGACCAACAAGTAATTGTCAACCCCCCTGTAATTTAATGTTAAAAGTTCATTTTGTAAAACCTTTGGGAATAGGTTTTACAAAATGAATTTAATAATGGTTATTTTTATTCTCAGCCTCATAGGTTCCAAGACTGCTTGAATTTTTGTTTTCCTGGCGTGAAATCCGAATTAGCCCCAAATAAATGTAATTTTTTTTTGTTCTCTACTAGGTTGACTTTATTCTTGGTCAACACTATTTTTCTTAGACTTAATAAAACATAAGATTTCCTTCTCAAAAGTTTCATAATTGTATTTCAATTTCTCTAAGGCTTACAGGCTCTGGGGTATAAGAGGAAATTCATATTCATGTTTCCTCTAACTATCTCTAATATTATCTTAGAAATATATATATATATCTTAGAAATATATATATATCTTCATTTATATATCTTCATATTTATTTATATATATCTTCATATTTATATATATAAAATCTTTATTCCTGGCCAGAGTTCCTAATATCTCCATAGTTCCCTAAGAGATAAGAATAGTTAAGGGAAAAGGAGTGCCTTTTATTATTAAGCCTCTTTCATCTATGCCTGAGTTTGTACTGAAGTGACTTTTGGAAAGTCCGTATTGTCAGAGGAACCAACCATGTGATTAGACAGTTGGAACTTATAACTCCACTCTGCAACTTCTGGGGAGAGGAGAGCTGTAAATTAAGTTAATCACCAATGAGATAATCTATCATACCTATGGGTCCAGATGTGTGACTCTGGTAGAACAATTCCTTACCATGTTCAAAGCCTAAATCTAATCCTCAGCAAAACAAAAGGTTAAAAAATATTTTACAAAATCATGCCTGTGTAACAAAACTTACATTAAAATCCCAAAGGATATATCTCAGCTTCCAGGTTTATGAACACATGAAGGTAGTGCCTGGAGGGTGGTGGGCCAGGAGAGAACATTGAAGCTGTGTCTCTTCTCCATCATATCTTCATGGTTCATCTTTTCCATTTGACCATTCCTGAATTGAACCCTTGGTAATGATTTGGTAAATACCGAATGTTTCCCTAAATTCCTTAATCCATTCTAGTAAATTATCAAACCTGAGGAAGATATCATGGGAACCCCCAATTTGCAGTTAGTCAGGTAAGAACACAAGTGATAACCTGGATTTCCAACTGGCACCTAAAGTGGGAAGAAACCCTGTGAGACACAGCCCTTATTTAGCCTAAGGGGTAAGCAGCAGCCCCAGTAAACGGTGTCAGAGTTGAATTTAATTATAGGTCACCCAGTTGTGTGCTGGAAAATTAAATTGAATTTTTATGAGGAAAATATCCCACACATCTTCTTTCAAAGTGAAGTATTGAAAGTTAGTATAGAGGAAGTAGTTTGGTATAGAGAAGTTTTTTTTTTTTTCTTTTTCTCAAAAACATCTTAGATTCATTGGCTTGGATTAGTCAAGTTTCCCAGAGGCCAGTTTCAACTGGCATGATAATTAAGTGCCTTTGGCTTTAATGTTTTCACAAAACAAGATAACACATAACCTGATGGTCACAATATTTTCAATTGTTCTCTATTTTTTATTGGTTCTCTTCATGTCATGTATAAACATGACAGTAGAATTCACTTTGATATAATTATATAAGCATGGAATATATCTTATTCTAATTAGGACCCCATTCTTACAGATGTACATGATGGTGGGATTCACATGTACATTCATATGTGTACATGGGAAAATTATTTTGAATTCATTCTATCTTATCCCCCTTCCCTTCATTCCCTTTTGTCTAACCTACTGAATAACTAATTCTTCCCCTCTCCCTCACTTATTGTGGGTTAGCTTCCACATATCAGCAAAAACATTTTGACATTTTAAATGATGGCTAACACTCCATGGAAGTTGTTTTTGTTTCAGAAAAAGTCCTCCAGGGAAACTTACAAGGAACTAGCTCAAATCATAAAGTCACTTTTGACCCACTGTTTAGGTAACCTAGAGTAACCTTTGCTCATTATAAAAATTCTCTACCCAGAGCTGTTCCTGGCCACCATTTTTAATTTTTATTTTATTTTTTTAATTATTAGTTGTTCAAAACATTACATAGCTCTTGACTTATCATATTTCATACATTTGATTCAAGTGGGTTATGAACTCCCATTCTTTCCCCGTATACAGATTGCAGAATCACATCGGTTACCATCCACGTTTCATGCAAGGTATGTCCATGACCTGAGCTTGCTCTATATATGATGATGAGTCTTTCCCATATGAATAAATTTTGTAATAAAAGCCCCTTGATTTATTTGTTCAAGGAGGCATTGTTTGAGAATTATCTCCATTGCACTTCTTACTGGCAAGTAATAAAACTTTTTTCACTCTCATCTCCTGGTCGTGCTTGTTGGCTTTTCATTCACCAATTGGCAAACACCCTGTGTTCAGTTACAACCTGACTGAGCAATGAACAGATGACCACACAGGAGAAAAATATTTGGCCTCTCTAAAACAGAAGAAAAAAATTCTACCTCAAATTTAAAAAAAAAATAAAAGGTTTTGGAATATGATTAAAGAGCAAATAAAATGTAACATACATATCCATGTTATGGGAGTTTATTTTCTGGAGAAATATTTTTCAAAATCCATAAATTTATGTTTTTCTCAGTGTCTCTTAACTAATTAAAAATATACACATGTGCAAAGATTACATAAAAGCCTTTCAGCAGTGGTCAAAACAATCTAAATTACAGAAAAAAATTAAGAAATTGTTATGGTTTAGTTGTGGTGTCTCCCCAAAACTCACACATGAGGCAATAGAAGGTTTGGAGGAGAAATGATTGGGCTATAGCCTTGACCTAATCAGTGAATTAACCCCTGATGGGATTCACTGAGTGGTAACTGAAGACAGTTGGGGTGTGGCTTTGAAGTATATATTTGTATCTGGCAAGTGGAGTCTCTCTCTGCTTCCTGATCACCACTTGAGCTGCTTCCCTACACCACACTCTTCTGCCATGATGTTCAGCCTTACCTTGAGCCCCAAGGAGTAGAGCCTGTCTATGGATGGAGACCTCTGAAAATGAGCCCCTAAATAAACTTTTCCTCCTCTAAAATTGTTCTGGCTGGGTCCTTTAGTCACAGCAATGAAAAAGCCAATTAAAACAGAAATGTACACTAATTCATTTGATAAAATATTATATAGTCATTAAATGAAAGATTTTCACATAACTTTTTTTTCTAAATAGGAATATCCTACAGGTAATAGAAAATCAGAATAAAGAAGTATATGTTTTCTAAAAAGTACTATATGTGAACAGAATAAGGATCTAAAGGAAAACACCTCAATGTTTAATTGGATGTTTCTAGATTGTGACATTATTTTTTTTTAATTCTCTAAATTTTCTTCATTGAACAAATAAGCATTTGGAATCTTAAGAATACAGTAGGCAAAAAGGAAGTGTGGCTTGTTCTGGAAGCTGAACTGGATTCATAGAATAGCAATTTCAGGGAACTTCAAGACACTAAGTCCATCTATTTAGTCGTCTGTCTCAGAAGAGAGGAGGGTAAGTTCCGAAGGGTAAGTTAGAAATCCTCAGGTAACGAAAAATTGAACAAAATCAGTACAAATGTCCCTTTTAGTTCTAGGTTTGAGCCAAGAAGTATAAAAAATTTCATTTTAATGGTTTAAGGTTAATGGTTTTGACTTTCATGTCAATTATTGAAATATTTTAATCATTATTGTTATTTTCTATGCCGTGGATAAATTATTGAAATATTTTAATAATTATTGTTATTTTCTATGCTGTGGATAAATGAATGTTATATGTAGTTTAAATTCAAATATACTTTCTATATATGATTATTCTATTTCAGTCTGGTGTCAGGAATAACATTTTTAGTTCTCTGAGGACCTGGTCTTAAATCATATTTCCTTCTCTTATATAGCTTTAAGAACATGTACTTAAGTTGTTTTATATATCATTAGAACTAGGTATTGTTTTCCAATTGGATAGAACTATTGCCTTAGAACTGTTAAGACTCAGGAATCTGGAATATCTTTCTCTCCATTCTAATTGGTTCTTCACTTACTTATTTTCCCCATTTTTATATTATTGGAAGTAGACATGGCATAAATTTATAACTTAAAAATATTTTTTATTTTGCTTTGCTCAGTAACCTTGATGAATTGTTCTTTGGCTTGAATAATTTTTTAGCTAAGAAAATTATGTGAAGAAGATTTCCCTTAGCTAAAATCTCATGATCCACTTGTGTTAATTTTCATATATAGTGTCACTTTGGCCTGGGAAGAGTTTTCTTTGAGACACCGTTCCCATGTTTCTGGTAAGTTCATTGCTTCCCTCTGTCCCTGGCTTATTTTTTGCATGTTTCTGCCCATTTTGTTGTGTCTAATTGGGAAAATCTGTTATCAAATAAGTAAATAGCTGGTAATTATTTGTTTCATTTGTCAACTTTTAAGGAGAAGAAAGGTATTTATGGTTTTGACTTCTGTAATAAGTGGAAGTCTCAGGTTAAACCTCTTTAAAGTATAATATTCATAATATTTTCATTTTTATAGCATCTGAATGCATATTTCTGGTTTTCAGGATACTTGTTATATTGTTTAAATTTCAAGCCTGAGAATAAATCAACTTTAAAACAGGAAAAGTTTATTTTGGCTCACAATTTGGGGAGTGCATGGCAGAATTCCTTATCTTATAGTTGAAAGTAAAAGAGAAGAAGAAGAAGAGTCCTATCATCCCTTTAAAAGGCATGACCCCAGTGAACTAAGACTTCCTATTATACCTTTTTCAAGGTTTGAAACACCTTTCAATAGTGGACTAAACTTTAATACATGGGTCTTTGGAGGTCATTCCGATCTAAACTATAGCACTAGGAATATTATAAGTAGTAGACAATTTTTGTCCCGAGCATAAAAATAATTTTTATCTTTTGGAATTCTTTAATGTATTAGCATTAAGAGTAATTTGTCCTTTTTTTAAAAAAAAACTTGTTTGATGGTTAGTTCATATATATTAGGTATAATTGGATTTTTGAAAGACATGGTTTGTCCAGTGTTCTTGTGGTTAGAGCAAAGGAGCTGATAACATTATGGAAACTGAGAATCATTGCACATTATAGAAATTGGGCACCATATAGGAAACTTTGCCATTATTTTTAATTCTGAAAATTTATTAGAATTGCTTCAATCATTAAATTTAATCCATTCTCATTTCCAAAAAAAATTTGGCACATTTTGCTTTCCCCCCGTTCAATTTTTATTTAGTATCTATCTTTTGGTCTTTTGACTATGTTATTTGGAATACAACTGGAAAAGCATTTCTACTAAAAAATTTTACTTAATTAGTCTGATAATATGAGAAGTGTTAGAAGAAAGTAAGAAGACATTTACATCAAGTACAAGTTAAAGTATACATTAAAGAATGAAAAGCAATATAAATTTAGGCCTATAATTATTCAGATTATCAATAAATGGGTTTGAATGTATGCAAAGCGTTGTTCAAGGTACTAAGAATTTGCAATGAAGAAGACAATCTCTGCTCTAATACTTACCACTGAATGAGGAGTATAGTCAATTATAAAAAACTCATAAAAATGAAAAAACTATTATAAAGGGAAAATATAGCATTCAATTAAAGTATATAATGGAGGAATTTGACTGGATTGATTGTCAGCACAAATGGAAATCTAGGAAAACTTGTATATCTCTGTTCTCTTGTAGCAAAACTCCATGGAAGTTATTCTTATTCACTGTCTACCCTTTTCCTTCCCATTTTTTCTTCTTAAATGCATTCCCATAGGGATTTCTTGCCCAACATTCCATGGACATTGTTCTTGACAAAACTACCAATGATTTCCATAAGTCAAGTAGTTACTTTTCAGCACTAACACTGGCATTTGACAGAGTTGAACTCTCCTTCATTCTTAAATCTCATCTTGGCTTCTAGGAAACCCCTTTTCTTGGCTCTCCTCATACTTCTCTAGACCCCTCCAAAGTTTCTTGTCTGTAGTTTTTCATTTTTTTCTATTATTGAAGTGTCTGAGGCTGAGGTGTCCCAGGACTCAGTCCTTAATTCTCTTTCTTCTCTCCCTATACCTACTAAGTGATGTCACCTAACCCCTAACTGTAAATGCCAGCTATATTTCAGGTAGCTCCTGAATTTATCTCTGGCCTTAACTTTTTACTGAATCCTGGCACTGTATGTCCAATTGCATCCCGTTCTACACAGTTATCCACTAAGTATCTCAAACTTAACATGACTGAAATTGAATTCAATTTCCTACCTTTGCCTCCAAATTTTTCTTCCACTAATAGTTCTATCTCAGTAAATAACAACTCCATTTTAGTAATTAATTGCTCAAGCCATTAAATGTGGCCATCTCTGACTTCTCATAGTCCCTATTAAATGTAGTTAATGTGTGAGTCTTTCAGCAAAATAGATCTAGAACCCAACCACTTCTTAACAATTCCCTTACATCATTCTGGTACAAACCTTCCTTTAGTCAACAGACTAAAATATTCCTCATAATGTTCAATTTGATCATCTTAAATGGGAATAATTCAGATCATGTTACTTCTCTGTTTAGAATCCCCAATGTTTTCCCTAATGATTCACAGCTAAAGTTCTTATAATGCCTACCCATGCTATATGATTTGGCTCTTGACTGCCTCTTTGATGACTTCTCCAAACATTTTTCCCCAAATTCTCGCTCTATACCAGCCATGCCAAACTTGATTTCTGTTCAGCCACACCAAGCATGCCCTGCTGTTGAATATCTGAAATCTCACCTATGCTGGTAAATAGCCAGTGCTTGATATATAGTTGTTTGAATGAAGGAAATAATGTTTCAATTGAGATTAGGAGTAGAGAATAAGGAGGTAGTTTCTTAGCTAAGAGAATCGGTGAGAAATGCATTTAGCTTATGTGAATCCCCTGACTGCTAAAGCATGAGTTAGGAGTTAACTCAGGAAAGAGATTGTTACTACATATATTCAAAAAAATTTTTTTTCAGATAAACATAGAAAATCTTCATGGCAGGTAGGGTGTGGTGGTACCTGCCTGTAATCTCAGATACTCAGGATGCTGAGACAAGAGGATCACAAGTTCAAGATCAGTCTCAGCAACTTAGTGAGACCACATCCAAAAATAAAAAGAGCTGGGGATGTAGTTCAGTGGTAGTGTTCCTGAGTTCAATCCCCAGAACTGGGAAAAAAAGAGAACCTTCAGTGCAGACATGTTTCTCATGACAGAAGAAATTATAATGGACTTAAACCCATGTGTGAGGTTTATTAAAGATCTGAATTGTTCATATTTTTTAGAATTGCAGATTAAAATATGCATTAAAATTATGGTATATCTGTGTAAATAAGAAATAGATGGGCTGGGGTTGTGGCACAGTGGTAGAGCGCTCACCTAGCACATGCGAGGCCCTGGGTTTGATCCTCAGCACCACATAAAAATAAATAAATTAATTAAAGGTAATGTGTCCAAGTACAACTAAAAAATAAATATTTAAAAAAATAGAACCACTAAAATGTATATGTAATTTTAGTAGCATGGGAAAATAGTCATAATAAAGTAGGGGAAAAGGTTATAATAGTGAAAAATAGCATACAGTGTTTAAAAAAATGTATATATAACATAGGAAAATGCCTTATAAGATTTACTTAAAAACACAAATATTCATTGTGTAAAGGATGGGACTACAGGAGACTTTTTATCTTTTTTGAAATCTATTTTCAAAATTTTTCTAATGAACATGTGTTAACTTTATAATCAGAATGTATATAATGAATTTTATGTAAATAAATTAGATGAATTGTCTCTGAATAATCTTATTATAGATTCCAAGAGAGTAAAAGTCAATGGTAATGATAAGGGAAAACAATAGGAAATAAGAAATCTGTGATACAGAATTTGACTTGGCTTTGGTTACCTGTTTTTATGGAAATACAGTTGGGACTATCCCTGCAGGTATACATCACCTAGTACGTAGTGTGATCTGACTTTGATCAGAAACTTTCAAATGTTTATGGCCTGAAACTTGTTGCTTTATAGTAAAATAGGAACTCGTACTAATTTTCTTATCAACTTCGGGGGAATTGGAGACCTAAGGCAGATCAAGGAGTAGAGAATAACTACTAAGTACATAGCTCTTTTATCTAGTGAATGGGTAAAAAAGCTCCCATCATTTGGCCTATGGGAATCTTTCTATTTGAAGTCTGTTCATTGCCATGCTTTTCTTATCTATTATACCTTTCAGGTATGCATACATTGTCTTTTTTATTTTTTGTTGGATCATTGCATTATGATAATTAAGATTTTAAGATCATAGTAAGTAAGTCAATGTTTCAATTGGGACTAGCCCAATATATCACTGAAGTATTCAATTATCTTTCCTGGTATGGTTGCCTCTTGGCACTGTGAACCTTAATATCCTAGTTTCAACTGTCTGTGAGTGATCTAAAATTTCATTACCTTATAAATGTTAGAAATTTGAATTCTACATGCTGTTTTAATGACCACATGCTGTAAGGCTGAACTTTACCAATGTGTGACTTAACCCAGGGAGTGAGTTCAACCAAGCACTCAGATCTACTTCTAAGCCTTCTTTCCTTATTCTCTACTCATTTCTTGATATTGAAGTTAGCATTTATTTCATTTGTTGTATTTGCAAATTTAGGGAAATCCTAAAGGTATTAGGACACATCTGTTGAATGTCAAATGTTCATTTATCTCTAGACTGAAATTAATATATATTTCTCGTGATTATGAACATTAAATAATACACTGTATTAAATATGAGCAATAAAACTACACTGAAATATAGATGTGGGGTGATTTATGATGTGGGGCCACAGTCTATGAGTTAAAGTCAGAACTTGAGATTGTTTACTTTTGGGGCATGAGTGTGTCAGCTTTTCAATAAAATTCAAATCCTGTGTCAAAATACAGAAGGAACTGAATAATTGGAACAGTAATAAAAATTAATAAAAGAACAGTATTGTTCTGGTTTTAATAACCTAGTTGTAGATATTAAAAATAGACACAAGAAGGATTTCAACTTGATCATGGGGTGTGTGTGTGTGTGTGTGTGTGTGTGTGTGTGTGTGTTTTCATTTTTGCCTCAAGGATGTCCAGTTTTGTTGAGATCATTGTCTCCCAATTATCCTAATGCTGTTTTCCCAACATGCTGATTGTATTTGGACTTTTTATTCCATGTCAGGATATGAAATGAAGCCTTAATGATAGAAGAATCTTGGAACTGTGAAGGGGATGTCAGTACTTATGATGGACCAGATCAATAATCAAGATTATTTGGTAAATTGATCTTCCTTAAATCTATATTGTGACACTAGCAATTTATAACTTATATGCATATAAACTTATATGCACCTATATGGAAAATGTGACCTGTTTTCCTTGAAAACAATACCATTTATTGTCAGTGATTCCAACAATTAATCAGTTTCCTTCATTAGAACCCCAGAACATCTTGAGCACAATGTGATAAGCATAAGCTCACATTTGCTGGATTTAGACCCCCTAATCCCAGCTTAAATTTTAGTCTATGTTATTTTATTATCAGTAGGCACTCTAATTTTGTTATTCTTAAGGTCATATGTTTAAAGAGGTTTCACTTCCTAAATTGCATTTTTAGGTAACACTTTGAAAATTTGTTTATTAAATGTTACCAGTATCCAGTTTCATTCTCAAAGAAGAGATGGGCCTTTTTAGACCCAAGGTAACTTAAAAAGGAAAAACAAATAGACTAATTGGTTGAATAATCTTTGGAAACTTACTGAATACATAGAGTCTATCATGCTTGGTTATCAGGCAGTATTGTGTTCTAAGACTGATTCACAGAAATTTTTTTAAATATTTATTTATTTTTAGTTTTAGATGGACACAATACCTTTATTTTACTTGTATGTGTAACTGAGAATGGGCACTGGGTTCCATTCACAGAAATTTTTCCAAAAATGTTGTAATCTAATGTTGTATCACCTTCTCCAGTTTCTTCCTGGTTCTGCCATTTAGAACATCATCTAAATGAGACAGTATCTCTCACAAAGGGCAGGTTTTTGATGTTTTTTCCAAGGACCTTGATCCCTCTAATAGTATTCCAAGATTAGAACATCGATAAGTTCAGCATTTTTTTGAAGTTCAATTCTTTTTAGGGATTCTAAAACAATTAGAGAATAAGGAAGAGGAAGATAAAAATGTTCAAGCTATTAGTTTACCTTAAGGTCTCCTTAGCATCAGATTTCACAACCCCAGTTCTTGTCAGTGGTCAACCTGAGGTTTATTTATCACTTCTGGAAAGAAGGAGATCACACTCTATGGAACACAATGGGGAATCTCAGTTAGAAGATGCCAGAACCCCTTATAGGATTTGGGCTTTGGAAAATTCTGGAGAGGATCTAAGGAAATGAACTTTGCACTAGTATTGGCTGTTATCAGGAAGTGGGTCAATTTTATGAGAGGCTATCTCTGTCATAGGGAGACCTGATTAGAATAAAGACAAATCTGTAGTTGCTAAAAAAAAGTAGTACTCCCTCATTTTAACCGAGAGGGAGATGTTTGGTATTTAAATGATTATATACAATCTTATTTTTAATTTCACCTTATCATGGACCCACAATGTCCTATCTGATGTTGATGCTCTGTGAGATTATTTGTGTCCAACAGGAGAACAATATGGTCCAGCTGTAAACATCAGAATGATTTCTGTAAAAGCCAGAAGCTACTTTTCTTTCTTCTATAAAGATTCTCCAATCTGATAACATTATTCCACCTTAAAAGTTTTAATAAATCAAAATTTCATAGGTATTTACTTATTATAAATGAGACAAATTGCATTTATATAATTATATAACTCCATGGATTTAGAATTTATTTGTGAGTTCATGTAATTTTAATTCAAGTATGTGAATTTCTATAATAATTTTTGAGTTATTGAATATTGAGCCTGGGGCTACCCTCCCAGCTAGTTAGAAAGTCTGTTATCTTATCAATCTGTTCAGTCTACTATAACAAAATACTATGTACAAGGGGACTTTAAAAGAGCAAATGTTTAATTCTGACAGTTCTAAAGGCTTTCAGTCTAAGTCTAGGCAGTGGCAGATTATCTGGTGAGGGCCCGCATCCTGGTTCACAGGAATGCTGCATTCTCTTGGGGTTTATATGGCAGAAGGGGCAAGGCAGCTCTCTGGGGCCTCTTTTATATATAGTTGCTCAGATTAATGAAGCACATTCATTTTCTGCCCCCAAGAAAACCGCAAGTTTCAATTCCTAAATCATTTCAAGTGTCTTATTCAAATGTTTTCTTATCTAAAGCCTCCCCTATCACATGGCCTAAATAGCTTTCCTCCTTCACCTTTTCTTGGCATTTAGCAAGGCCTGGAAAGCATACACAGATGATCCCCAATATATGATGGCTTGACTTATGATTTTTTTGACGGTTTAAAAATGATAGGCATTCAAAAGAAGACATACTTTGAGTTTTGATTTTTTTGGCTAGTGATTTTTTTAATTGACACCTAATATCCCATGTTAAGACGATCTCTTGCAGGGCTAGCAGTAAGCTGCAGCTCACAGCCCTTTGATCAAGAAGAGGGTAAACCACCAATGCTCTATAGCATCGTTAGGCTGTGATGGTTGGTAAAGCAGGTGTTTCAGATGTATTTGTCACCTATGATATTTTTAGTTTACCATGTCATGACCATGTGATGTTTATGCAGTTTCCCTCAGCGAGGGTGATGAGTCAGATTAGAAATATTAAAGATATAGGAAATTTAAGAAGTAAAAGACAAGACACAGAAATAAGTGAAAAGCAGGAAATAAGTGAAAAGTGGGATATGATAGGGAGCAGCTCTGATGGAAACTAGGTCTAAAAAAGAACGACAGCCCATGTTTTATAGGTAGGACCATCAAAGGGTTTCAGTGTGACAGGCTTCTTGACTAAGATGGGAAAAACAAATGTTTGGAGCTTGGCAGGTTCTGTCCACCTCCTTTCTGCCTCACTGAGGCTGCATTTGAACCTAGGGTTGTCGAAGCCAACGCAGGGTGTATGCATAATCTGATCAGTAGAATTTCACCAAGAATTCCCAAAAAAGTAACCCTTCTGCCTTGTAATGGCTCAAACAAACCTATAATTTGTACACAGCCTCCGACATGACCATGCATGGGCTTATCAGGACATGACCCATTTGCAAGTAGGAAACACCTGTATTTTGTTGACAATCTGTCTCCTCTACCAGAATGAACTTTCCTGAGCAGGATTTGATCTTTTTTTTTGTTGCTGAATCTCCAGTGTCTAGAGCACTGCCTGCCAGTAAATATTAAACAAACAAAAAAAAAGAGTGAAAAAAAAGGCCTTGAATGTGGGAAGAACTTGTCAGCTTAGGGACTATCAGAGGTGATAGGTCTTGGAGACTGAGTAGAGACTAGGATGAGGTGAGGTGCTGAAGGGAGGGTTTGCCATTTGTGCAGCTCATACCAGGGTCATGCATTTGGATTTGATTCCAGTTCAAGAGGTGGTCATTGAGGTTTCAAGGGCAGTAATTTAGGGTTGCTTTGTGGGGCAACAAAATAGAATGCATCCAGAGAGTATAATGACCAGAGTGCTGAAGGGAATGGAAACTGAGAAGAGAGAAGACCAAAAAAAATCATAATTATTCTTTTAAAGTGTTTATGGAATTTCCATGTAGAGGCTTTCAGGTTTCATGTATGAAATAATTACTAATAGTTATTGAATATTAACCATTATTCAAGTATAGTCCAAAGAAGTTAGAGCTCCTGATCCTTGTAATAATTCTACAGTCACATTACCCACAATTTAAATAAGAAACCAAGACACAAAGAAATTGAATAACTTATCTCCAGTTCCATAGTGAATAAGCAGAGAAAGTAGAATTAAAACCCATGTACTCTGTGTTCTTGGCTTCTATACCAATCATGTGGTATCATCATATTTAAGCCTTTCGACTCAATGTGAGGAAGAATTGTACAGCAATTGGAACAGTTTAAAAGGAGAAAATGCACATAGATCCATGCCATATCTTCAAGCCTCATAATCATTTTGGGCATTATTTTAGGGAGACTTTGTTAGATGTCAGTTTGAATCTGTATTTAAACTAGACCCTACCTTTTCACCTAGCCATCCATCTTAAACATATGTATTTTATAAATGTGTTATCTGTATTTATGTATAAGTCATTAGCAGAATATTGTATTTGGAAGAACGAAGGATAGAATCATTTCTATATCATTAAGATCTTCTCCTCAGTTAACATTTCTTGTATAGTTACTTAATCAGCTGTGGAACTTCTAATTATATAATTACTTACCATTTTCTGTTAACAGGGACATCATAAGATGCTTTATTAAGTGCTTCACTGAAGTCAAGATTCATTAAGTTTATCCTATTCCCCCTAGCCATCATCTAATTAGCTCTTTTAAAAATGAAATTAGGTTAATTTAATGTGGCATGTTAAGGATCCCATGTCAGCTTCTCATGATCACCAATTCATTCTCCAAGTGTTCAAAAGCCATCTGTCTAATAATTTGCTTTAAATTTTTTGAGATTTAGTTTTATTTAACAAATATATTACTTTGTAAATTCCAACTGATTTAATACCATAAGTGTCTCCATTTTACAGATGAAAAAACTGAGGCACAGAGAGAGGTTAAGTAAGTTGCCCAAGACCATAGATTTAATAAAAGGTGGAGTTTGTCCAAACCAGCAGTTTGGTTATACAAAATATGCCTCTATGTACTAAGTTATGTTCCTTTACTGCTTTATTAATTTGGAAATCCCCTGTGTCTCCTTGTTTTCTGTTTTTCTGCTTTTGAGATACAGAATGAAAAGTCTCTAACTCCTACCATCACATCTCTCTACCAGCAAGCAAGCAGTTCCATAGCAGATACCAGTTAGGCAATCATCCTCTAGTTCAACTCAATTCTGACACTATCAACCTGGAAATAGAAATAATCATTACTTTGAGGTAAGATGAAACATAAGCCTATTTTGCTTCATGTTCAGTATCCCCCTAATGAGGATCTGTCATTGTTGCATCTGGACAAACCTATTGAACTAGGTCAGTGTGGGTAACACTCTTTCATATTTTGAACTTTTCTCATATAATTTCTGTATTTCATCTTGCTTAGAAGTACTGTATATATACTTTTGAAGTTAATTATTTCACAACTTTTTAAAATTTAAGCTGCTTTCTCTGAATTCTGAAATAACTTTCAGAAACACTTATGTGTTTTTAATTGATGGAGGGCTATACAAGATTTCAAAGAAATTCATTTTTAACTGTATCCTGTTTATTCTTGAAATTCTTTGTCATTTTAAGGTTACTCCAAATACTTGGTACAGGAGTTTGTACATCAAGTGTTCAATTTTCTCTATCTTCATAATTTAGCAAAATCTTACTTTTGTTTAGTGATTACTTAACTCAAATGTGAAATTTTTGTGAGGGATTAAAAATCCTGCCTCTGTTGCATAATAGTCATGCAATATTGGGCGGGTTATTTAACTTCTCTCTGCCACAGCTCTATCATTTGTAGAAAGGTAATAATAGTACCTTGTTTACCTACTTAGCACAGAGGAGCCTTTAGTGAGAAAGTGTATTTGGGGAAATGTAACAAAGCCTCCCCACTCTCCAGTCATACTTTTCCACTGAATCATAAGGCTCTGGAACAGGCTTCTGCTGCCTTCTATCAATAGCCTTGCCTCTTTATTTTTGTCTTAATACTTTCATCCTATTAACCCCTGTCATGGTTCAGCCCATCGTTTGCTTTCTGTGCTTTTTAACCAAATGAGTGAGAGCATCAAGAAAAATGCTTACTCATGGCTGCACATTATAATCCCAAGTTGCTTAATCACACACACACACACACACACACACACACACACACACACACACACATCCTGCATTTTGGACCAATTAAATATGAATCTCAGGACTGGAAATCTGGCATCAACATTTCCCCACTTCTTAAATTATTCATGTATTTTAAACTTTTATGTTAATTATAGATTCATTCATGGTTTAAGAAATACTAAGAAACACCCAATGTACCCTTGCCCACTTTCCCCCATTGGTAACATCTTGAAGGCTATTGACATTGATGCAGTCAGGACACAGAATTCTTCTATCACCACAAGCATCCCTAGTGTTGCCTGTACCCACTTCCCTAGCACCTCCTTCCTCCATCCTCCCTCCAAGACCTCTGGCAACCACTAGTCTCTTCTCTATTCCTGTATCTGGTCATTGCAAGTGCTATGTAAATGGAATCATTTGGGATTGACTTTTTCCACTTGGCATAATTCTCTGGAGATACCACAGTTTAACTATTTAACTGTTAAAGAATATTCATTGAATAATCATTCAAGTGTTGAAGAATGGACAACCTTTTGTCCATTATAAATAAAGCTTCTGTGTACATTTATGTATAAGTTTCTGGATAAACATGAATTTACCTTTCTGTGTAATAAATTCCCAAAAGTACAATTGCTACATTATATGGTGGTTTCATATTTAGTTTTATAAAAACAACTGCGGAAGTGTTTTCCCAGACTTGTACTATTTTACATTCTCACCAGCAATGAATAAATGATTCATTTTTCTGCATGCACATTTGTATTTGCTATTGTCACTATTTTTTTATTTCAGCCATCCTAAATATATAGTGATACTGATACTGTATTTCCCTGTTAGTTGCTGATATTGAATCTTTTCACATGCTTATTTGCCACTTTTAGAACCTCTTCTGAAATGACTGTTCATGTCAATCTTTTTTCTAATGAAATTCTTTACTTAATGTGATTTCCTTAGCAAGAAGAATAAAGCTGGTGGCATTACTATACCAGACTTTAAACTATACTACAGAGCGATAGTAACAAAAACAGCATGGTATTGGCACCAAAATAGATTGGTAGACCAATGGTACAGAATAGAGGACACAGAGTCTAACCCACTAACTAGAGTTATATTAGACAACGTTGTCAAAAACGTACATGGGAGAAGAGAGCCTGTTCAGCAAGTGGTGCTGGGAAAACTGGAAATCCACATGTGACAAAATAAAATTAAACTTGTATCTCTCACCATGCAAAAAACTCAACTCAAAGTAGATCAAGGACCTAGGAATTAAACCAGAGACCTTGCGCCTAATGGAAGAAAAAGTGGTTTGAGATATTTTAGATACTAGTCTTTGTCAAATGTATGGACTGCAAACATTTTTTCCTAGTCTAAAACTTGTCTTTTTCATCCTCTTAATGGTATCTTTCCCAGACAAAAATTTTTACTCCTCACACTTCAGATAGAGCCCTAATATCCAGAGTATACAAAGAACTCAAAAAATTAGACAATAAGATAACAAATAAACCAATCAACAATGGGCCAAGGATCTGAACAGACACTTCTCAAAGGAGGACATACAATCAATCAACAAGTACATGAAAAAATGCTCACCATCTCTAGC